TGGGAATTCGCGTCGTCCTCTCAGCGGAGGGGATGACGCGCGCGCCGCTACCTGAAAAGATCGCCAAGTGGGCAGCCCGCATCCAAGAGGCACTCGAGTCGGGCAATTTGCGCGCAGGCGGGGGCCAGGGTCTGCGTCCCATGGAGCGGCAACGTGGCGCGCGCGCGCGCGCCCGGGCGTTGCCGGCAAACTGGCGGGCGCGCTGGCTTGGTCTTCTGCAAGTATGTTCAATCGCGCAAGGCGAGCCATGCTCAGGCGCGCGCTCGTGTCATGCGTCGTCCGAGCCACGCTCGCCGCGCTCCTGCCGCGGCAGGCCGATCTTCGCACAGGCGCATGATCGTTCCCCCATTGTGCGGAAAGAGCTGCGGCTTGCGTTGCGATGGTGGCTGATCGTGCTCAGCGGCGAGACGACGCAGTCGCAGAAATGGCGCGATGAAGCGGCGGGCCCCGTGGTTCACCTCTTCTGCGCTGCGGCGAGCCGCCCGCCAATGGCGGCCGCCTTAATTTTCATTGACGGCAAATGCTACTGGACGTGCATGCCACCAGCCGCCAGGAACGGTCGGGGCAGGTCAGAGACAGGCTACAAGCCTCCCACGCGCAAGCGTTTGGCAGGACATGGAGGCTTTCCAGCCCAGTGAAGATAACCAGATGATGGGCCTGTAGATGCTGGGCATCGCGTGGGGTCTGTGTTCGTTTGAACACCTGCTTTGCCGCCGGCGCGTCGCGATCTGGCCGGGCAATGCAGGTGCGCAGGCCGCTTCCAGCAGGGGCGCCGCGCGCGCTATCGATCATGCTTGTCTCGCACACGGCCTATGAGTCAAGATCGCTCACCTGCGGTGCGTCGCCCGCGTGGAGCGGGTGCCGACCGACGAAAATATTGCAGGCGACCCCTCCAGGGGCGAAGTTGGGCTGCTGCGCCAGCTCGGTGCAACGCGTGTCGTTCCGCGCCTTGACGAAGCATTCTGCGCGCCCGGATCGTGGGGGTCGATGCTCATTCCGGCAAAGTGAGCCAGCGCTCGCAGCGCGTGTTCGCTGCGGGTCGGTCGCAGCGCGAGGCCGCGACAGCGTTGCTAGAGGCGCGCGCCACCAGGCGCCGCGCGAGATCCGGCAAAAGCGCAGTTCGCACAACTCTAGCGAGCAAGTGCGTTTAACTATGTCTCGCGACGAGCTCGGTGCTTAGCTGTGCAGTGTTTTGCGCAATGTGCCGCGTGTGGACATTGGCGCGATCTGTATTTGTCTGTGCGCTGCGGCACCTCGAGAGTGCGCAGTTCGATGATTTTCAAAGTCGTGACGGCCTCTCCGCCACTGCAGCGGCAGCAATGCGAGAGCTGTTTGCGCGGTCGCCTCGAGGCGAGCGTCGCGGGCGCGCGGATCGCGCGCGCGTGCCGCCCCGCATCGCAAGGGCGCATCGTGGGCGCCGGGGCAGCCGGAGGCAAGCCAGCGCGGGCACGCGTGTCACGGGCGGGCTCTGACTGTTCGGTCTCATCAAGTTCTGAATCATTGAGCGTGAAGATATGGGCACCTCGCGCGGTTCGTCGCAGACCGCGTCGTCTTTGCGGCGGTGATGCGACGCCCAGGCGGCGTGGCCGCGCGCGCAGGGATTCCCTAGCTCGGTGCCACCATCAGGCCCGCCGCCCGCGGGGCGGAGGGCTATCCGACGGCTAGCCGCAGCTCGGCGACGGATTTTGTGGCAGTGGTGCGCCGTGCGATACGTGGGGCGATGGCCGGCGTCGAGCGTCAGATGGGCGATCCGCGCTGCGAAATCGCGAGAGCGGCTGAAGCCATTACCTCGCCCGAGGCAGGGCAGGCGTGGGCAAGGGTGGCCCGCGACGGCGCCCTGCTCGGGTCGTGCCCACGCCCGCTGCCTCAAGTGCGCAGCGGCTTTGAGTGTTGGGTGAAGTTTGCGCGTGATGTTCTGCGACGCAAGGGCGCGGGGCTCCCGCCGTCGGTCGACAGTCTGCTGCTGTGGTCGACGACGTTCAGGTGTCGCGCGAGGTTCTGCAATTACCTTTCGCATCTTCCCACGTTGCGCGCGTTTCTGACGCGGCGTTGGCGCGCGCGTCTTTGTCGGGGGCCAAGTTGGCCATAGAGAATCGCTCGGGTTGGTCGGCGCGGCCGCGGATGGCGATTCGCATGACATTGCTGGAGCTGTTACTGGAAAGCCCAGGTGCGTTACCAAAAGACGGCGGTCTGGGCTTCCTTTTCGCGACCGTATGCGCGTTTCTGCCCCGGCCCCCGTCCGAGGCGCTGGTCATCCACCGCGCAGCCTCGCATCAAGGCGCATCGCAGTTGCGCGCCGGGCTTTCCATTGACGAAGAAGCTGCAGTTTTATTTTTCACCAGGCAGAAGAATCGCGAGAGACTACCACGATCGTTCGCAAGTGCTGGTGCAAGCGCTCGCGCGCCGCATGCCCTGTGCACGCCCTCGGCGCTCGGCTTAACTCTCGCCCTGGCGGCGACGCACCGTGGGCCGGCTTGTGCGCCGCCAGCGTGCGCCGCGCATTGCGGGTGGCACTGCGCCACGTGGCATTGGGCGACGCAGACGCCTGGCGCCCGCCCACCCCGTCGGGGCCATGCACAAGACATTGTAGAGTTCGGCGGTCGTGTAATCGACATATGGAAGGCGGGTGACGGGCAGATGCCAGCTTGGATGCGTTACCTTGATATTGAGAAGATGGAGCGCCAAGCCGTGGCTGAGGCGCACTTCGGCGCATCGTCCAGCGACGACGACGAACGTGGGGAGGCCGTGGCTCCCGGCGTCCAGTGACGCTAGTGCGCGCACGTTTGCTGCTGCCGCGATTGCGACAAGCCATCGCGCGCTCGTTCACTGTTGTCTTGTCCGTCGCTTGTCTCTCACGGGTTGCGGGTCTGCGGCCGCGTCTCTGCCTGCCAGTGGGTGGCAGCGGGCCTGTGGGCGCCGTAAGCCCGCTGGGGCAGCGCTCGCCCTCGACCCCTGGGCCCGCGGCAGTGGGTTTGGTAACCCGTGTGCTTCGGCCTGCGCCCTGGCGCGTCAGCCGCCAGCGTCGGTTGACGCGACGGGCTGGCGTGGCAGCTGGATGCGCGCGGCCGCGGCCTCGCCCAACGTGGCTTGGGTGCCGTCCTCCTTCTCTCGGGTGGCATCGCGGTCGAACGTCGCCGCGAAGGTGACTTATGGGGCAGTAGTAACTTGTTATTGCAAGTCATAAGTCGACGCCGCAGGCGGTAGTGCCCTGCCGTCGGCGCCCCGCGCGATGGCGGGCGCCCGCGTGTCCACCCGCCGCGCGCCGCCGCAACGCTGGCGGGTCAGGCCCCCGCGCGGGCATGCTGGCGTGCCGCGCGGTGGTGCGTCGATGTGCTCCTCTCCTCCTGCTCTAACATCACGGCCGAGAGGTTTCCTCTCTGCCGCCTGGCCGCGGGGTGGGATCAGCCGCCTGCGTCGTTTGACGCGACGGGCTGGCGCGGCTGCTGGAGGCGCGCGGTCGCGGCCTCACCCAACGTAGCTTGGGTGTCGTCCTCCTTCTCTTGGGTGGCATCGCGGTCGGCCGTCGCCGCGAAGGTGGCTTATGTTCCAGAAGCTGGTCGGAAGCGAAAAGTCGAGATGGCCAAACACATTGATGTTCCTTCGGTTTCTGAACGGTTTGGGCTTCTTGGAGGCTTCATTGTGCGGTTCGAAGGGCACTTGGAACCGTCTTTGGGATGCCTTGGGGCATCTTGGACGCATGCCGGAGACTCTCTTGAGCCATCTTGCAGTATTTTGGACCATCTTGGAGGCCTTGGGTTCTCTGGGGCCCTCTTAGAGCCATCTTGGGCCATCTTGGATGCTCCCGCGGGTCGCGCCCCCCCCGCCCCCTCCCAGGCCCAAGGGGGGGGTAGAGGGAGGGGTCAAGCTACCCACCCGCCCGCAAGCCGTCTAGCTCACTCCCACCCGCCCGCCCAACACGGAAGTAACACCCGAGAACCTGAGCATGTTCAGCGGTCGTCTTTGAATGGGCAAATAATGGGAACCAAAGCCGACCCCGGGTGCGCGACGCTTGGGCGAGGTACGCCACGCGCGCCAGGCACCCCTGGGGCCCGAGCGTGCCAGGCACGCCTGGCGCGCCAAATGCGCCACGTGCTCCGAGTGCGCCAGGTGTTCCGCACACTCCAGCCGCGTCAGGTGCGCCACGTTCGGGGCGCGCAGAGTGCGTCAGGCGCGCCTGCGCACGTGACAGCACACATCGGGAAACATGTCGCACCCCACCACCCTTGTCGAAAACCACGGCTCATCATTGTGTCTGGTGGGCCTGCGCACAGCAGGCTTCACGCCATGACCCCCGCCGTCCCTGTCAAAAACCACTTGACAGTGATCGCGGGGTGGCGCGCATGATCCAGATTGAGCCGCGAGGTGTATTTTTTGGTTTGTCAGTGATGGTAGTCCTGCGCGCAGCAGGGACACATGCTGACAACCCCGCCGTCCCCATCAAAAACAATGCAAAGTACTCGCGGGCCTCACGGACATGACTCCAGACTTTGCCCCAAATTGTATTTTGTCTTGTTTGTTGATAGGGATGGTGAGGGGGCGGCCACATCGGGTTGGCCGCGCATGCTCCACTTGTAGAGGCAGAGGGTGGGGGGGGTGGCCCGCATGGGGGGTGGCCCGCATGGGGTCCGCATGGTTCCGGGTTGGTCGCTGGCCGGATGGGGAGGGGGTGTGCATTAATAGGGAACAATGGTAAACCCCTTCGCCGACCAGGGCCAGGAAGAAGTTTGCACGTAACTTGTTCAACCACCTACGCCCAGAGGGCTGGTGAGATTGCAACGCCTTCCCACTTCATGTTTTCATTCGTTTCTTCCGACCGATGGGCACGTGAACCTCAACAGTCGGAGTTTCGCGGGGGGGTCCGAACGTGTATGTTTTTTATTATTCTAGATTGCGCTGCGCCTCAGAGGCGCCCTCGATGTTCCCCCCAAGACGGTCTACCAGGCACTTCAAGATGCCCGAGGCTCGACAAGGACCCATGAGGTCTTAAGATTGGCTTCGAGGGGCCCGCAGTCATTTTGGCTCAAGCAGGTTGGGCACCGGCGCTTTTTGCCTTAGGAGTCTTACGCGCCGACCTCTCGTTGAGGTTCTGCGGTGCCATGTACCGCCACCTCCGCCCCGCTTCCTTGAACATGTCCCTGGTTCCTGGGCTGCACCTGTCGACGTCGAAGAGCCAGTGCCCGCGGACACCGGGCGAGGGCGTCAAGCCGTGTTTGTTGCTGGAGCTGGAGGAGTGCGAGTCGCCAGACAACCTCTACGAGTCCATCCGCAGCTGTGGCACCTCGGCCGACGGCGAGAGCCTTAGGTCCTTCGGCGCACCGGACGGCCCGATGTGCAAGCTGCTGGGTGCGTGCCAGGACGCGGCCTCCGACTCCGCGGTGGTCGGGCCCTGCGAGCCCAACGTGACGGGCCACTGCGAGCCCCCCTCGCCTGTGAGCAGCGCGTTGGTGCGGAGTGGCGTCGGGGCCCCGGCGCTCAAGGCTGTCCTGCCTCTCGGGGCGGGCGCGGTCGACCACTCGGAGCCACCGTCGCCGTTTGATAGCATTCTGGTGTGTGCATTGCCCCAGCCTGCCACGCAGCTGGAGCGGAGACGCGGCTGGGCCGAGGAGCCGCAGGTGGTCGAAACCTACGAGTTTGACGCGGTGGGCTGTCGTGAGCCCGATTCGCCGTTCGACAGCATGTTGTTGAGGTCTAAGCGCCAGAACGCATTCGCCCGCAGCGTCTTGCCGTTTGTCGTGCGAGACGCGCGTGCCCGATGCCAGCTCGGCACAGCGATGTAGTGCAGCAGGTCAGCGCGGCTTGTTGCTGCAAGACGGCTCGACGTTGCTCGACGTTCTGCTGTGGTATAGCTCTGGCAGGAGCTGCGCTACCGAACCCCGTTTCGACACGATCCATTTTCGCTTGTACGACGCGAGTAGACTTCGACGTCGTCGTGGACCTGACGACTCAAGAGGGTGCAACCTTGCCGTTGCGAGTTGGCCAGTGTGCCAAAGTGTGAATTTCAATGCGCGGCAGTAATATCCCGCATGAGGCCCCTCCACTCTTGCCGGCAGGCGCTAGGCGGCGGAACATGGTGTAATGTCTGGCTGCGATGCGACCAGATCTGTGAATATCGCGTCCTTCTCATGAGACCCTGGTTTTACCTTGCCCAGAGGTCCGTGTGCATTTTTAATCAGAGGGTCGAGACGTCATGATGTTGATGATACGTTCCGAAGACATGTTAGCGAGCGTGCACCGCAAACAGTAAATGGTGTAAGCTATGTGGTGCAAGCTATGTGGTAGAAGCTCTGCTGTGCAATCTACGCGGTGAAAGCTTTGTGATGTAAGCTCTGTGGTGACTCGGCAACGAGGCGGCAACCGGCGGCAGCGTGGCGAAACGTCGACGGACCGCCCGAGCGGCTACGCGGCGGCCATCGTCCGCAGCGTGGCGAAACGCCGACGGACCTCCCGAGCGGCCATGCGGCGGGAACGGGCGGCAACCTGGCGAAACGTCGGCGTACCCCCCAGGTGGCGCCACGCGGCGGCAACAGGCGGCAACGGGCGGCAACGCGGCGAATCCTTGGCGGACCCCCCAAACGGGCAACGAGGCGGCCACGAGGCGGCAACGGCCGGCAACGGGCGGGAGCACGGCGAATCTTCGGGGAACCTCGACAGGCGGCAACGGGCGGCAACGGGGTGGATAGGGGAACGAAGAATGGCATAAACATACTATTTCGGAGGTCCGCGCGTATTCCTCGGATCGGCGCTGGGGCCCCCTGGCGGCGCCGGCTCCGCGCGCCAGGGAGGGGGGTCCAGCGCCGATCCCAGAAATCCGCGCGGACCTCCGAGTTTTCATGTCTACGTCATGTTGCGCTCCCGCAAGTGGAGCCTGGCGAATGTTTGGGGCACCCCGGCGGGCCACGGCGGGCGGCAACGGGGCGGAGCGTGGCGAATCCCCAGGACACCCCGGGGCGGCAACAGGCCGCAGCGCGCAACGGGGCGTCCAGAAGCCAGAGCGTGGCGGAGCCTCGGAGCACCCCATGGCCTTCCTTGAGAAGCACGCGAGGCCCACCCTGAGTGCAGGCACGGTCTGGGGAATCCAGATGTCCAGGGAAGCCTACTGTTCCGCACGAGCTCCAGGAGCGAGGGCCGCCAGATGCTCCAGGTCTCTTGTGACGTGTCCTGAGTCACTCGCATCATGACGCCATCTGCGGACTGCACGACCAAAGCACTGAACTACAGAGTGTGAAGTAATTCGCCCATTGGGCTTCTGAGTTTGAATATTTTTTTGTGGCAGCTGGAGGCGTGCGGAGAGCCCTGCAGGCAGTCCTCCAGCCCCTCATGCTGTGCTTAACTGCTCCCTCCCCCAGAAAGACTCCAGATGCCCTCAGAGGTCCCCCACAGCCTTCCAGTTCCGGTGCCTCTGGAGGCGAAACGCATGCCAACAGGTAAAACAAACAAATCATGCACAGCGGAGAGACAAGGAATCATCGAATTTGCCAGATGGAGGTGGGTGCGTCGATGGCGTCTCTCTCCCTCTCTCTCTCTCTATTTCCCAACCATCCTGTGGTGTTGGGTCCTCGTTTTGAAGAGACGGTGGCCCGCGTCTCCTCTCCTTCTCTCCTCCTCCCCCTCCTCCTCCCTCCTCCCCCTCTTCCTTGCGTTTCACCCACCCAGTACATCGTTTCGTGGCCCCATAGGGAGCTCCACCGAAGGCCCCCAGTGGCTGCGTTCGCATGGCGGCCTCGGGCCATTTCGGCACACCCCTCACGAGGATCGTGGCCCCATAGGGAGCTCCACCGAAGGCCCCAGTGGCAGCGTTCGCATGGCGGCCTCGGGCCATTTCGGCACACCCCTCACGAGGATCGTGGCCCCATAGGGAGCTCCACCGAAGGCCCCAGTGGCTGCGTTCGCATGGCGGCCTCGGGCCATTTCGGCACACCCCTCTCGAGGATCGTGGCCCCATAGGGAGCTCCACCGAAGGCCCCCAGTGGCTGCGTTCGCATGGCGGCCTCGGGCCATTTCGGCACACCCCTCACGAGGATCGTGGCCCCATAGGGAGCTCCACCGAAGGCCCCAGTGGCTGCGTTCGCATGGCGGCCTCACACCCCTCACGAGGATCGTGGCCCCATAGGGAGCTCCACCGAAGGCCCCAGTGGCTGCGTTCGCATGGCGGCCTCGGGCCATTTCGGCACACGAGGACCCATAGGGAGCTCCACCGAAGGCCCCAGTGGCTGCGTTCGCATGGCGGCCTCGGGCCATTTCGGCACACCCCTCTCGAGGATCGTGGCCCCATAGGGAGCTCCACCGAAGGCCCCAATGGCTGCGTTCGCATGGCGGGCACACCCCTCACGAGGATCGTGGCTCCATAGGGAGCTCCACCGAAGGCCCCAGTGGCAGCGTTCGCACGGCGGCCCCGTGCCATTTTGGCACCCCTCACGAGGATCGTGGCCCCATAGGGAGCTCCACCGAAGGCTCTAGTCGTTCGCATGGTGGCCCCGCCCCATTTCGGCGCACCCCTCACGAGGATCGTAGCCCCATAGGGAGCTCCACCGAAGGCGCCAGTGGCAGCGTTCACATGGCGGCCCAGGGCCATTTCGGCATACCCCTCACGAGGACCGTGGCCCCATAGGGAGCTCCACCGAAGGCTCCAGTGGCTGCGTTCGCATGGCGGCCTCGGGCCATTTCGGCACACCCCTCACGAGGATCGTGGCCCCATAGGGAGCTCCACCGAAGGCCCCAGTGGCAGCGTTCGCACGGCGGCCCTGGGCCATTTCTGCACACCCCTCACGAGGATCGTGGCCCCACAAGGGAGCTCCACCGAAGGCCCCAGTGGCAGCGTTCGCATGGCGGCCCGGGGCCATTTCGGCACACCCCTCACGAGGATTGTGGCCCCATAGGGAGCTCCACCGAAGGCCCCCAGTGGCTGCGTTCGCATTGCGGCCTCGGGCCATTTCGGCACACCCCCCACGAGGATCGTGGCCCCATAGGGAGCTCCACCGAAGGCCCCCAGTGGCAGGGTTCGCATGGCGGCCTCGGGCCATTTCGGCACACCCCTCATGAGGATTGTGGCCCCACAGGAGCTCCACCGAAGGCGCCAATGGCAGTAAATTTCCTGCTTCTGCTCTTCGGTCAGGGGGGCGCCATCCTCGCGGTCGTCGGCGCCCGCGAAGACGGCCACAAACGTGTCCCTGAGCATGTCGGGCTCCGGCGGGAAGCCGTGGCCACATAGGGAGCGCGGGCGAAGATGGTATTCTTCACAATTGCTGTATCCACAATTGCGTATGGTTGGGTACTTCGCCAGGCTAATTTTCTAATGTCACGATGAGTTGACGTATTTCCCGCTTTGGCTGAGAATCGGAGGTATTCGATCTCGAGCTTGTTTTTTTGAGAGGCGCAGGAGGAATTCTTGCGCCTTGTATGTTTCGATGCTGGCGTGGGAATGACATCACTTTTCGGAGGCTGTGCAGGCAGACCTGCAGAATTGCGGCTGGGCTCACACCCGTCTTGTGACCCAGACCAAGCCGCGCCCACACCCACAGTCGCATCGGGAGAGCTTTCGGCGTTCGCACCCTCCACGCAGTTGGTGAGACGCCGTGTCCCCCATAATTTCATGCGAAGCGCGTCTCCATTTGATTGCGAATGGTTTTGTTTCAAGACCCTTGGGCTGACAGCTAGCATAGCCGGTAGCATGGCGCGCTAGTATAGCACGGCTGCTTTATAGATCGCTCATGCTTTATGAGCTGTAGAGTGCGCGCATCGCCACTTCAGCCAGTCCAGTGGCGCCTTCTGGCTGCTCATCGGAGTGAGAAATGCCTTTAGCAAAGTAGTGGGCCCAGTGTAGCACATGCAGTGCAGCGTGGCTGTACAACTTCGTGCATGTTGACGCCTCCCCTCTCCTATAGCCCAAGATGCCTCCGGCACGGATCCCACGGGCGTCCAAGAGGAGGGGCCCCCGGCGAGCCCCACAGAGGCCCCCCGAGTGGTCCCAGAGGGCCTTCCGACCAAGCCCCGGGACGGCTCCAGAAATCGCCGAGTGCATCGCCAAGCGGCGACGCCCACCTGGTCCACGGCGCCACTGGACAGACGACCAGAAGATATGATGGGGTCCCAGCCCCGCTGCCGACCTCCCGAAGCGGCACTGCCGTGCCCGCGCGCACTGGGAGCGGCACTGGCGCCTATTCTGCTGTGTCCAAGGACGGCTCCCCGACGCCCCCAAGACCCAAGACCACAGGAGCGTGTTTCTTTATTGCTTGGGGCATAATGGGCATTATATCCCCCGACCCCTCTCCCCTCCCCATAACGTAACGCCCCTCCCCCCTCAGTGCGCTCCGGGCACTGCCGCCGTGCGCATCGGGCACACGGCGGGGGGGGGCGTGACATTATACCCCCCCGCCGGCCCCCTCCCCCCTATAATGCCCATTCTCGCCGAAAAGAAAGAAACGCGCTCCAGGTGCCAGGTTCACATCCTCTTCGTTTCTTGGGAGGAGAGCACACTTTGGCTTGGCCTCCTCGAAGATGGCCTGGGCCAGGCAGGATACCCCCCCGCCGGCCCCCTCCCCCCCCTGTAATGCCCATTCTCGCCGAAAAGAAAGAAACGCGCTTCAGGTGCCAGGTTCCAATCCTCCTCGTCTCCTGGGAGCAGAGCACACTTTGATTTGGCCTCCTCGGAGATGGCCTGGGCCAGGCAGGAGCACTGCTCAGGCGGGTAGGTTTAAGTCGGGCCTGTCCCTCGACAGCAGGAATATTCAAACACAGTCAACAAAATGCTCTGGGGATGGCTTTTTGAGTATTTTTGACC